CCTACTGATAATATAAATTTAGATAATCATTTATATAATACAAAAGCAATATTATAGCAATAGCATTCTATTAATCAGTTAGGATAAAATATTTATAATTATTATATAATCACACCAATATAACTGACAGGTTATGAGACATTTGTATAATATTAAAATTATACAAAAAAATACAAGCTAATATTAGATGATGCAAACTCAAGATAAGTTCTTATAACTGTATAAATTCATAAAACTAACAAGTTAAAGTTTATTTAGAAAGATCCAAATAGAAAAATAACATAGATCTTTAACAATATTATTATAAAGACTAAACCTAGAAAATAAATATTAATATAAAAGAAATTAAGTAAACAAAATTTCAGGTAAGAGGTATTACTAATCAAGTTGTCAAAAATCTCAAACTAAAGAAAAAGATTTTTAAAAGATAAAATCTCAGAATATCAGAAATAAGTCACAATTCTTCTGAACTATTTGAATTAAAAATCTGAAAACTAAAACAGAATAGAACTTAAATACTAGAAATATGTTGTAAAATTAATACTAAAATTTGAATAAACTTTATAAGAATAAGTTCTGTTAACAAGAAAGATTAAATATGAATAATTAATTAACAAAAAGTCTCTTGAAACTCTATAATCAAGTAATATACTTTGAAATATGTAATAATTTAACAAACATACAAATAGAGAAGTCAAGATTAGATTAGATGATACTTTAATATATGAGAACTTGTATGCTATTTGTCAGATATAATATAAGAATTAGAATGTTTAATTAGATAATCTTTTATATAAAACCTGTAAGTAGACTATTTAAATAGATAGCCAAAAGCTGTATGTGTGACTAGTTGCATACTTACCTTGTATAAGTTATGTAATTATAATTAAATTACAATAAAGACAGTAATTACCAATAACTAATAAACTTAGTGAAAACAAAAAATATATATATATAACATTAATTGGATTATTAACTGAACTAACTACTAACTTAAAAAATAATAAACTAGTATTGCAAACATAATTACAGTTGTACCTTCACTACTAGATAACATTTTTTCTTTCTTAATATTAGTCTTGCTAGAAACTTTTTTTTTTCTTACTCTTACTAACCAAATGATTTACCAAATCCTGTTTAGAATTTGTTCCAAAATTCCCAACTTATAACACAAAAACCTTAACACATCAACCAACATACAATTAAAATTAGCTTTTAAAATTAGTCTAAACACTACCTCATAATCATTACTAAACAAGAACATACATTTATCAAGAATTTTGTCATCAACATTTTGAACCTGTTTTTCTTTATTAGGATTTTCTTTATTAATATTTATTTTACTAGGATTTTAAATACTAAAATCAAATAAACTCAAATACGTCAATATTACTACTCTGATTTACTAATCACAATAATTACCTCATAATTATACTGATCAAATACTAATCGCAATTATTACCACATACGTAATTTTACTAGTCTAATTTATTACTACGTAATATGATCAAAATACTAAGCCACGACATTTATTGTAATAGGGCATGTCACATGCCTGGTTACGGGCTGATTCGAGACAAAAGTTGCCTCGATAAACAGGAGGAACCGTCGATGTTACACGACTGATCTTTCACCCGGTGTGCAACATATAAATAAATTATTTTACAATACCAGATCATTCCGCTAGTACATGTTATGATTATAATCCAACACCATTTTATTATAAAAATGGTGTTGGATTATAATCATGTACTAGCGGAATGGTCTGGTATTGTAAAATAATTTATTTATATGTTGCACACCGGGTGAAAGATCAGTCGTGTAACATCGACGGTTCCTCCTGTTGCCTCGATACTATCGTATCGAGCAGCTATAAATTCGCTATATATTTTTTTAGTTTGGTTACTATTTTATAATAACTGCGCATATAAAATTTAAAATATTGGTAAAATTCGTTATTATTACTGCATATATAATTCATAAAAATTTATTTCTAAATTTATAAATAACAAATTAGGAAATAACCCGGAACATTTACATTAGTTAAAACTATAGTAATATATTTTTTATATACTTTATTTAAAAAACTTTTAATTTTTAGTAAACTTTTACCAGCATGCATTCAAATAAAGTGCCAAAATGAATCTTAATAGAGAAGAATTTAGTTATTTAAAAAAGCCATAGTTGTAAAGAACATTAAAACTTATTTTTTTAGCTTCATGAAAAAGATGAAAAAAAGCATGAATTTGATAGTATATAATAAGGTTTTTTAAAAAAAATTTTGAGCAAATAAAACAGTAACAGTAATGACTATTAATTTATAATTTGATGTGAAAAATTATATAACTATACGGATTGTGTGACATATTCTCTGACCAAAATTATGTATTGGCACTTGTTACAAAGAAATGTTGTACTGAAATACTTAATTGCAAAATATTTTTTATTTAGGAAAATACGTAACAAAAAAAGTTATCATGAAGAAACAAGTACATAATACAAATTAAAGAAGCTAAGTATGATGTAATTTTTCATAAAAGTTTAACAAGACCTTATAAATTTGAGGAAAGTACAAACTTTAGGATGAAATGCATCTAAGGGGAATATTTGCATGCGACATCAACATCAATATTTCCATATTCACAAAAAAATAGTTGGTCTGGACTTAAATTTAGGCCATATGAATAAATCTTCTCTCCTTTAATATCGATATTCAAGTATGTTTTTAATGATTAAGTATTAATAGACACTGTAAAATATATTGACTTAGAGATCACGGGATTTGGAGTCTTTTCTTGGTGACACTCTCGCTATTGATCTTTATCGTATGATAGCATAAATAGCACAAATGATAATACAATTTATTTTGACCAAAGTTGTAACAACAGAGTAGATATTTCTTTACCATCTTCATTATCTTTATTAAAATACCTTTTTAAATATAGTTTACTAACAAGAATGAATTTTAGAATATTATTACTCAAATATCCGTATTATATTCCGGGTGATACTAAAGTCTTGGTATAGTAGTTATTGTTGTTTCACTAGCATCAAATTTGTTTTTGTTTCCCTGTTTTTTACTATAAAAAATGTTCAATAACCTAATAATAACAATAACAGGTAATAATGTGACTCAAGTTATTTCCTCCGTATGGATCCAAAAAAGAACTTCTTAATTAATAAGTCAAAACCGTTCAATATGTTTATCATTTCGGTCAACAAACTTTTATTCAAAACTTTTTTTTTTGCAACGGTTTATATTTTTGATCATCTTTGTTATCGATACACTAATGTATTGCATTATTGTTATTATCTTTTTTTACTATTATGCTAAAACTTTTACGTAGCAAATAAAATTTAAGAACAATCTTTTTTTTTTTTTTGCGATACATTATATTATTATCCTTAACAAATTGTAAAATATGTAAACAGGCAACGGAAATAGTCGGGTTGATATTCCTTATTAATTTTTTTATTTGCAAAGTTTTCGATAACACTTAACAAGCCGCCCAACCACCCGGATCGCTCAAGCACTAATTTAGGTCTTTAATTTGATCTATCGTAGTATTGAGTATCGCTAAAATTATTAGTAAATCACGTTAAGAGTGATACTATCACCATTCGTATTATTGAAATGTTATGAGAATGACTAAAATTACGCCATAACACTTCATCTAGGTTGATACTTAATAATCGATTAGTCGACAGTTAATTATTGATAATTAAATAATATCATGCGGGTATACAATTTCTTAAATTCAAAAATCGATGTTTGATATAATATGTATAATGTGAAAAAAAGATTATACGTACTACGAATCGTGCATCTATTCCGGAATTACCCATATCTATTATCAATATCGATATGCTTTGTACGTATATAACAATGTACATATCGATATTGATATGCAAACCTTAATAAGGTATACGTACGTGCATATATAGCATTCCTAAAATTGACATATGTATAAGACCCAAAAACTAATTTGAATTCTTTTATTAATATATAATAAAATTAGAGATGCAGTAGTAACAATACATTCATTATGCTTTAAGATATGTTAAACAGGTTTCATAATTGCATATTGTCTATCTTAATTAATTTTAACCTTCTTAATTCATTTTAACCCTCTAATTTTGTTAAACATCCACGCTATTTTCAGGTTTTTCAGGTATTGATAGGATCAGGAAATAGATTGCTTGATTTACATCAGGATTTACAGCGAATTCTTTAGAAAACAGTATTCAAGATCCTTGAACAAACAGGGAAAAAAAACAAAAAGGTTTATTTGTGCCATAACCCGATAAGCACAATATATTTATAACAAGTAAAGATCGACGAGCTAAAATTCTATTTTTAAACAGGCAAAGTTTTTGTACTTAGGGTGTTTTAGTGTTTGAAGATTGAACACTATTAATCATTGATTCCTTTTTTAACTCATACTTACATGTCACGAACCAATCAATAATAGTTAGCTTAATCAGTCAAAGCCTTCCATAAGCCCTTCCATAAATGTTGAATAAATTTTTGGATTATTTACAGTTACGAAAAAATGATGTGAATAGAATTGAATGTTTTTGTTTTCATCAATGAGATAAACGGCGAATTAACTTTTTTGGATTCTCGGCCCTTGTGCGAATACACATTCGTACATATTTAATCGCAATTCTCATTCCGAATGAGTTGTGTACACTTTATTTCTGAATAGAGTTTCTTTGTGTGTCTCAGTACTTACATATTTCCATTCATATTTACATACGTACTTACTATGTACTTATGTACATAAAGTTTTTATAAAATCCGTCGTTTTGTCTGTAAATCTTGATTTCACTATTTGCTTTCAATCTACTTTTAAATCTACTCAATCTACTTTTAAATCTACTCAATCTACTTAATATACTCCCCGTTCTTTTAACCAAATTGATTGTATTCATTGGCTTCTCGTATATATCGATATTGCATATTTTCTCCCTAACATTCATTTGACTTAATTGAGAATATGCAGTCACCAGTTGAATCATCAGGTTTGCCTAAAAAACTTGCCACTTATAAGGTTCGTGAATAGAAAATAGAGTGTCAGATCCTGTTAGTTTTATTAAAGATGAACTGATCCTTATCGTCCATTAAAATCCCTATAGCTTATAAAATTGTTTACTACGGGCAACAATTCATCATTTTCATATGACCACAATTTTGATATCGACAGCAAAGACTGTTCACACACTCAGCTGTTTTACAATATAACAGATTTTACCGATAAATCTGAATGTACTCCTTCCTATTGTCGTGAGGTTTTTCGTGTCGATGCTCGAGATAATTTGTATTGGTTCAATACTGCCCTTAAAGCTGTTCCCCCTAGAAAATTATCACAACAACCTCCTTCTCCTCAAACTTTATCTCCTCCATCTACTCCATCGACTCCAAAATTCCCTCAAACTTTATATCCACCCACACCAAAAACTCCTCAAACTTTATCTCTACCAATACCAAAATCTCCTCAAACTTTATCTCCACCCACACCAAAATCTCTTCGAGCTTTATCTCCAATTACCACTCCTAAATCTCCTAACTTTCCATTAAAATCTCCCAATCCAGTAGCATGGTCTATAGAATTTGGCACATTCAAATGTTCGAGAATTTTGAGGAAGGTCCAGAGACCAAAACAATTTATAATTACTCATCTCCAAACAGGTGCCCCTGCCACTTATACTTATGTTAGTGACAAGAAAAATTCAAATATAATACCTGTACTCACCGGATTTTCCGGTGAAGTTAATACTCCATTTGATAAAACATGTGACCAACGCTTCCATTGGATTCTCGATCCGGATAATGAAAAATGGTCTTTGGTTCAATCGAATGATCCCCAAAGGCCTTTAGTTGTCTTTAAAAAAACTTCTCTTGATAATCAATTTTTAATCGTGTTTTTGGAAAAAGCTCCCCATGGTTGGTCTCCACGCATTGCTGACCGTCTGTCTAAGTACCTTTCGGCAAAATCTAATGATGGTCAAAGAAGAGGTTCTGATTCCTCAAGTTCTGTAAGAAGTGATTCATCAAGTGGTTATTTGACAGTTGAGAGTGAAGAAGATGATGAAAAGCATTGGCATGAATTCGTTTTGGCATCAACAGTTGTTGTCCAAGATGAAGTAAACCCTAAAAAGAGACGTTTATGGAAATAAAAATTTATATATATATTGTTGGTGAATTCTAGATTTATGTTGTTTATTTCCTTATAATTTTCATTTATATACTGTATACATATAAAAAGCACATTATATACATTTAAATTTTGTAATATAAATATAAATATAATATTCAATAACCATTTTTAAATTTATCTCGGTATCAAAATTCTAATTTTGAATGAGTGATTAAATAATCTCTTTTTTTCTGTTTTGGTTTATTATATCAAAAGACGTTTGAATCTTACAGAATTGTAGGCTGATACAGTGATTTGACTCGGATGATTTTTAAAAATATTCGCAAGAGGAATTCCATAAAGAATTTGTTAAGCACAGTGTATTGAATCCATCTCTTAAGAATGTTTAAAGACCCTTGAGGCTTCACTATGTTGTATAAGTTATAAAAAAATTGATTTAATTTGTTTCACGTACAAAATTTTTTTTAAAAAATGATTACGTATTAAATTTGGAAGCTTCCTATTTGATACATATAATGATAACAATTTTAGCATTTATCCCCAGTAACAATATCATCACCTCTTATTTCTTTTTATCAAATTTAGGGTTAGGGTACAATTTTAGGGTTAGATATAAAGGTCCAAATTTTAGTTATGGTGGTCCTGAACATTTTTACTTAATACTCCCCGATATGTGTTAGCTAGTAGGTTTTCGAGATATATAGTACCCTGCACCGGCGGTAAATAATAATATTCTAATGATGATAATATTTGTATTTACTGTAAATAGAATTATTTATTATTATTATAACGAAATTTAAGAATATAATCATATGCAAGAATATATTTAAATTTTTGACTATCCCTAAACCCAACCGACATAACGCATACGTTATTGTAAATTCTCTCTATATAACAGATAAAGGTCAAACTCGTACGATCTGCAAGTTTATGTTTATGACCATGAGTTAAATTCGGTCTGTTCTGTCAGTAGAGAAGATCTCCCAAATCGTAACGCCATGAACCAAACAGACGCAGATCTTTACAACCTCGGATTGAAATACGAATATAGTGACTTAAACGTCAACAAAGATGATCAAATGGCATTCAATTATTATCAAAAATCAGTAGAAATGAGGTACGTTGATGGAATATATAAAGTTTGATATTGTTATAAGAAAGGAATTGGAGTTGAAAAGGATGAACATAAAGCAAGTGAATATTATTATAAGGCTGCAGAAAATTATAAAAAAGGAATCATTGTTGAAAATGATGAATATATAGCATTTGAATATGAGAAAGGTATTGGAGTTGTGAAGGATGAACATAAGATAAGGTATTCGTTCATTATAAAACATCAGCTGATGGAACAAATAATGTTGAATGTTTTTATGAAAAAGAAATTGGAGTCAAGAAGGATGAACATAAGGCATTCAAATATTATCAAAAATCTACAGAGATGGGTTCTGTTAATGGAATATACAATATTTAAGAAAGGTATTGGAGTCAAGAAGGATGAACATAAGGCATTCAAGTATTATCAAAAATCAGCACAGATTGGTTCTGTTAATGGCACATACAATGTTGGAGATTGTTATAAGAAAGGTATTTGAATTGAAAAAGATGAATGTAAGGCATTTGAATATTATAAAAAAATCTGCAGAGCTGGGGAATGCTACAGGTGCATATAATATTGGACATTGTTATGAGAAAGGTATTGGAGTTGAAAAGGTATTGGAATTGAAAAAGATGAACATAAAGCATTCGAATATTATCAAAAATCTGCAAAGATGGATTCTACTAATGGAACATATAATTGGACGTTGTTATAAAGAAGGTATTGGAATTGAGAAGGACAAATGTAAAGCAGGTAAATATTATTATAAAGTTGCGGAAATTCATAAAAAAGGGTTAAAAAGAACAAACATAAGGCACTCGAATATTATCAAAAATGGGTTCTGCTAATGGAACATACAGTGTTGAATATTGAACATAAAGCAAGCAAACGTTATTTTAGAACTGCAATAAATTATAAAGAAGGAATCGAAGTTGAAAAAGGTGAACATAAGATAAGGTCTTTGAATGTTTTCAAAAACCAGCAGAGATGGGGCATTGCTAACGGATCATATAATGCTGGATATTATTATCAGAAAGGAATTGGTGTTGAAAAGGACGAATATGAAGCCGGTGAATATTATTATAAAGCTGCAGAAAATTATAAAAGAAACGGAATTGAAAGTGATGAACACAAGGCTTTCGAATGTTATCAAAAATCAGCAGAAATGGGGCACATTCATGGAACATTTAATGATGGATTTTGTTATGAAAAAGGAATTGGTCTCGAAAATGACGAACGTAAAGCCTTAGAGTATTTATAAAATCTGCAGGGAAGGAATAAAATTAAAAATAAGTACCAACTTACATGGATTCCTTATGGTGAATTCAAAAATATTAACAAGATAGGAAACGGAGGAATCGCAACTATATATTATGCTCGATGGAAATTTGATGTTGCGTTGAAATTAATTCATAATCCACAAAGCCGAATTCAAAGTTTTTTTAATGAGGTAATTCATTAATTATTAATGTATTAATAGTAGTATGCATTAATATTAGTAATATTTAATTTAATGTATTTTACATTATAGTTACACGCTTATTATGAAATTGGAAAGGAAAGTCCTTTATTTTTTTAAGTGCCATGGTATATCGAGAGATAATTATCATCGTTTTGGATTATGCCATATATCAAAATATGCAATATTTATGGATAAACATGGATAGAAATACGAATTAACTTTTTTATAGGATCATTCTGGCAACTGTGGTGTATCAACCTGATACACAAGTACGAAGGTTCTTTAATAAAAATAAAAATAATTTACACTCATAATTTAAGCTATACTACAGTCTTCATTCTTTGTAAAAAATTGTCTCAGAGACTCATTGTTAGTGATGGGAAAAATGCGCATTAATGCGCACGAAATGTTTCATGCGCATGATATCGCATGATAAAAAAAAGGCAAA